GAGGCGGTGCGGCGGCAGATCCGCTCCGCGCGGCAGGTGGGTGCCCCTGGGACCGCTGGCCGGGTTCGAGCCGCTTTAGGACGGGTTCGTGGCTTTGCGAGCCAGGCTCGCTCGTAGGCGCCTCCTCGTGGAAGCTTTTCTTGTGTCCTGTCTCGTCAGAAGGACGCTACGTGCAGAGGTAGCGCCGTGCCCGCACTCTCCTTTCTTTCCAATCGGCCCGAAGCGCAGCGCAGAGCCGCCCCTGGCCGCGCACCGTGCCGTGGCTGCACGTGGCTCTGGGCCGATGCAGAGCGCGGTCCGAACGCCCCGCGGAGCGGTGACTGTTCCATGTGAGCGGTTGCATTAATCGTGCACAGCGCCCGTAGCGGCTGTGCCCGGCAGCAGCTCCTTTCCCACCGCGGTCCCGTCGGCTCCGCTGAAATTGAAAAGCGCGGCTCCCTGCTGGGCGGGGCGGCCCCGGCCCGGTGCTCCCACGTGGCACCGAGGTGAGGCTGTCAGCGAGTGAGGATGGCACGGGCTTTGCTCGGCGTCTGCTGTGCAGGAAGAGCCGCTCCGAAGGTTTCTGGTGATTCATCGAATTGCACCATCGAACGGCTGTTTTTCCCAAGAGCTGTTCTTTGTTATCTTCTTTACGCCAAGGCAGCAGCCAGGCACGCTGCTCTGCTCGCTGCCAGGTGCTGGCCTGGGAAGTGCTTTTGTGGGTGAAAAAACAGAGAGACCCCTGGAAATTAATGACTGATGTGCTGCTTGTTCATGTCTGCATCCTTAGGATTAATGTGCGGAGTAGGAAAGCTTCAGATGCTGCTGAGTTCCCTGTCAGCTTGAGGGACTGACCTGTGGTTACCAGCAATTGAAGCTGAGGGGAAGGCATGGAGCTGTGACAGCAGAGATATCAGGGAAAGGCTCTGCCCCAGAATGCAGTGGGCATGGCCCCCAGCTGCTGGAGCTCAGGGAGGGCTGGGACATCGCTTTCAGCCATAGGATTTGGGTTGGGGTGCTGCTGTGTGGAGCTGGGGGTTGGGCGCTGTATTTTTGAGGATCCCTTCCAGCTTAGGATGCTCTATGACTGAGGTGGGTGCAGTTGCTGCCTTGTCTGCACATCTGGAAGAGCCCAGTACAGAGAAGAGAGTTTTCTCTATCTGCTATAACTGTTTTGTTTAGTTTGAATACAGCTTTTCTGTCTTTTTCAGCTGCTAATACTGGGATTAGAGCTCATGTGCTGCTAACTGAGCGGCCGTTTGAAGGCAGCGGTATTTCCAAGGAATTGTGTTCCAATGGTTCTATTTTCAGGGGTTAATTTCTTATTCACCTCATCAACAGTGCCTTAATTTTCTCCATCTTGCTCTGGCACTTAGAGAAGTGGCAGAGTGAGAAGACCAGAGGCACTACAAGAGGAGCACAAGCATAAGCTAACTTCTTCTAGAAATGTAGCCTGCCTTGTGTTCTATAACTAAGAAATGGCCTGTTTAGAGCTAACCCTGTAAGGAGCAGGGCTCAGGTGGGAATGCAGAGCTGAGACTGTTCTTGTGGGAAATGTTTCCTGTGAGCACCAGCAGTGCCACACACAGAGCAGCTGTGCTGTGTGCCCGGGCCTCTGTGCAGCAGGGGGTGTGTGCCAGGAGAGCTGAGACAGCAGGTGAGAGCAACAGCTCTTGTTGCACATCTGGTGGGACAGCAGTGAGTCATGAAGCCAGAGCTTTGTGTCTGCACCCACGCAGCTGTGCGTTCCCAGGTTGAAAGGGCTGGGATTCTGGGCAATGCTGTGTGGTGTTGCTCTGAATGGAGAGGCTGTTTACAAATGTAAGAACGTTTTGTCTGTGGCCCGCTGAATCTTTCCATCTTTGGGCTTGTCTGTTCAAAAGAACTCTCATGGCGAATTTGCATCTGCTTGTGAGTTTTTTTTGTGAAGGTGTTGGATGGAAACCCAGAATGTGCTCTTCCCAGCTCTTAGGAAATATATCCAGTTGACTGTTATCTTGGTCATTTGTATAGGGACGGTGCTGCCTTTCTATCAGGTGGCCTGAGGAGAAAACAGACAATGTTTGTAGATGCTCAGCTGTGCAGGAGGCCTTCTGAGCCACTTCTGTCCTGTGTGAATTAAAGCTCTGGAACTCTTGCTGCCTCTCTTTACAGGTGATTGCCCTTGTTATGGATTCCTTCACAGATATTGATATCTTCAGTGACCTTCAGAATGCCTACAGCAAGCGCCAGGTCCCTGTCTATATCCTTCTTGACCAGGACTTTCTACCTTATTTCTTGGAAATGTGCAAAAACTTGGGTGTCTGTCCTGAGAAGGAGAGTGTAAGTACTAAAAGTGGTTTTGTTTTCCCTTCTTGTGGTTCTGCTTTGGTTTTGTACATCAGAGACACCTTTCTGCAAATCCTCAGATTTCCGTAAAAGTCTAAAGCACCCTGTCTGTTTGGACACTGAAATAAGAGGGTGCTGAAGGTTATGGCCCATTTTGATGGTTTCAGTACGGTCTCTACCCAAAGGGGTGATTTCTTACAACGTAATCAAAAACCACACAGAAAAGGCACGTTTACCTTCACACTTCCTTCTACCTCACATGTCTGCATGTAGGAATGACAGCCATGCTGTGCAGCTCCCCGGCGTGCTGGGTGGATCCCTGTGATCCCTACTGGAGAAGTGGCTATTTCCAAGCGTTTAATTTTGCAAGATCTAAGTAACTTTATTCTGTGGCTCAAGGAATTGCTTGCCAAGGCAAATAACTCTAAGGAAAGCAAACAGGAAGCTCAAGGGTGGTGTGGCATTGGGAACATCTTTTATCTTCAGGATTTGGAGGATGTGACCCAGGTAGCTTACTTGATTCCTCTGAATGTAAGCTGACACAACTGTGTTACGTCCTGGCTTATGTTGACCCAAGTGAGTGCTTGTCTGGATGGGAGGCACTCCTAGCTCTGTGGGCAGTAATTAGTTGGTGCTCCCCATTCTCTCCAGATTAACTCTCTACAGCCTTTTATGATCTAACAGAAAGTTAGCACTACAGAACCAGTAAGACTTTAGTTGCAGGTCAATTTGAGGAAGCTTGTTTCATTCCTATGTTCCACAATTAATCTTGTTGCTTTTAAGCAGAATTAATGATCAAAACTTTTTGGACGTAAACTTGAATTTGATGCTAGTTTTTTCCCTTTTTTTCCTGAAACAGTTGATGAGGGTTCGAACTCTCACTGGGAACATCTACTACACGAGATCAGGTGCCAAAATTATTGGGAAAGTCCATGAAAAATTCATGTTGATTGATGGCGTGAGAGTGACAACAGGCTCCTACAGGCAAGTACTGGAATCCATTAGTGTGTAATTATGCTAAAAAAAGCAGGGGGGTGTTCTGCAAGAAGATTGTGTTCAATCTCCTGTTTGCTGTTACTAATAAATATCAAGTGGGTACCTGAGTGGGACTAACACAGAACAGGAGGCACCTTTGGGAAACTTGTATTGCATGTCTTGGCATTAGCAAAGAACCTGGCTGTGGCTGTGCAGAGATTTTCCTGAAGGAGCGAGTGAACAGTTGATCAGGTCTATGCCTTCCTTACGCACAACGCTTCCAGGCTGAGTCTTGCTGTCTGTTACTATGAGTTGAAGTGCACTGGAGTTTAATTGTGAATCTTGGTTTGTTTTCAACAGTTTCACATGGACTGACGGGAAGCTGAACAGCAGTAACTTGCTGCTACTGTCTGGTCAAGTTGTTGAACACTTTGACCTGCAGTTTCGAATTCTTTATGCCCAGTCAAACCCTGTGAGTCCTGAGTGCCGATCAAGCTGTAGGAACAGTGGAATATTTGATCACGTGGAGAAAAGAATAGAGTCCTCTAAAGAATACACTGTGGAGAGCAATTTGAGGGCAGAATTTGCCAGGCTGTCTAGTACTCCAAAAAAACTGTTAAAAGAACTAGATGTGGCTGCAGACACTCCAAGACGCAAACCTTGTGACCTGGGACATTCTCACTTCAGTGAAGAGGAGTGGCTCAGCGATCCAGAGGCCATAGTGGGACAGAAGAATGCATCAACTCAAACTGGCTTATGGGAAGAGCAGCCTGCAGTGGCCGTGTGTAATGTTGGCATGCAGACCAATGTTTTAACAGAAGAAGCTGACACTCAAACTTCAACTGCTACAAGAATGACTGGGACTCAGACTTCAGTTTTGCTGAAGGCTGCAGTGACGCAGACAAGGGAAGATGCGTATGTGGAAACCCCTCTGCTTTGCAGGAAGTTTTCCAAAGAAGAACCCTTTCAACCTGGAAAGTCTTCATCAAATTCTAGCCTGCGGTCGCTATCTTCATCATCATCCCACCTGTCTCGCACGAGCTCTACCAGCTCGCTGTCTTCTCTTCGGTCCTTTGAATACCCTAGTGTTCACAGGGCAGAGTATTTCCAAAAACTGCATACAGAGAGGCAATTCCACTACTCCACCATCAGATCAAAGCTTAGCCACATGGTGGGTATCTTGTCCAGGAGAAGACATGTTCCTGAAAGCTACGTGAACCACTGCAGGGGAAGGTACAACCTGAAGTAGAGGTGAGACATCAGTGCCAGCCTGCACAGCCTCTGAGGTGTTTCACTCTTGTCTGAATAAATGCTGCACTGAATGCAGAGCTTGAAAGCTCTGGTCACAAAATGCAAGCACTTTACATCTGCTGATTCTTGTAATTCCTTCTAGTACTTTTACTCTTCTTTAATACATGCACACATCACTGTCCAGCACTTTGTTTTCTACTGTGCAATTTAGTCAGTGAGATTTTTCACATGTACTGAAACCACTTGCATGTTTCCCTTATACACATTAGTGGTATAGGTTTATTGTACTTCTGAATATTTGACTTAGAAAGCATTTAAGTTTTGTTTTTAGGATTGCTAACGCTCTGGCTTTAAGTTCTCTAAACTTGGAAAAATTTGAGTCAGATCTTGCTCAGAATGGTAATGTTAACATTTATTTCCCCTTTTTAATAATAGGTTTTATTTCCACTACATGTTCAGAATGAGGGAAAATAACTTCATTCTCACTCCAGTAGAAGAGTAAAATGTGTTCATCTCTGAAGCTGTGAAAGGTCTGTTGGAACAGCTGTGGGTTCTGATCTAACTAGGTCTTCAATTTGATTGTCCTCGTATGCCTTTACATGGCTATATGTAAGGTGTGCACGTAACAACGATAACATAACTGTGTTACCAACAGTTTTTTCTCTTAAATCTAAAGGTAGCTTCATGTCAGATGCTAAGAAGAAAATGAGCTGTCTCAGCTGGAACTGGGACGTGTGTCTTAGTTCTGGTAGGAGACCTGTAAGTGCCTGCCTGCCTTGGAGTCAGGCTGGAGGTGAGATGATCCCCAAGGACACATGACAAAGTCTCTGCTCAAATAAAGTACAAAAATATTATAGGTTGTTTGCCATGATTATTTTACAAATAATTTTTTCTCTCTTTAAACTGCGCTTTCAGAATTTATTCTGTATTTCCTGCTCTGTCTGTATTTTATCCACTGATAATGGTTTGGGGAACCAGAGAGCCACTAGAGCTTATGAAAATACCTTCAACACTACATGGATTGTGGGTTAAGTCACTTTGCAGAGACACTGCCTGAATGTCTGCAGCAGGTGCATGTGTATTTGTGCTTGATGGATCACCTCTCTGAGGTCTGACCTGTGCTGCTTTACACCTGAATACCATTATGTTGGTAACTAACCAGACTGAATTCTGCAGTGAAACCAGGCTGGATAAGGTATTTCCTCCTTATTTATGGAAGCATCTGTCCAGTAGATGGCACATTTCAGCTGTTAAGTTCATTTCCCTAAGGAGAAATGAATGAGTGGGAAAACACCCAAAACAGCTGGGCTGCAATGGAAGTGTAGGCAGACATGCTTTATCCTATCGGCTGTGGCACTTCCATCTTTTCAGGCTGCGTTGGTGAAGGCCCGGCTGCTGTTGTAGGCTGTCAGATCATCCACTCCTTTCCCCTGCCCTGGAGGAGCAGTAAGCAGTGCTCAAAGCCTCTCTGACAAGGCTTTGTGTTTAAGAGCTGGCGTTGGGCAGCGTTTGAATGCCTGTAAAATGAACTCGAAAACCTTTGCTCTGCGTACTCCTCAACGTTGTTGCACTGTAGGATTGTTTTGGTACTGATAGGGGCGATACGCTGTTTACAAATAAATTCACTTTGCCGGGAGGTTCTGAAGCTTTGTGAGTCGTCTTTTATTCGCGTGGCACCGGGCACCCCGACACCCCGCGTCGCAGCCCGCAGCTCTCGCCGTTCAATTCCCGGTTTGCTCCCAGAGGACGCTGCGGGGGGGCGGCCGGCGGCGGTGCGAGGGCGCGGGGCCGGGCGGGAGGCGGGGAGCGGCCGCCCGCTATAAAGGCGCCGTAACGGCGCTGCCCGCGGCCGCCCGCCCTCC